TAGAATGGATTTAATTTTTAAATGTCTAAATAGCAATAAAAAAGTATAAGAAAACAAAAAATAACCTCTATAAATTCCTGTATTATACACATGCCAGGAAAACTATAGAATTTTTTTAAAGATTTCAGCAACTGCCCTTCCCTAAATGTTTTTAACCTTTCTCTTGTTTATTTGTCAAATAAGAAGCATAGATGACAAATGTTTACATTGTTATAAAATCACTCCTTTGTGATAGAAATTTCAATTCATACACAGTAATTTATAATTTAAAGTTATTGCATTAGATATTTTTAACCTTTTTAAGTAGAAGGTGACGCCCCCAAAAGATACTTTGGACATGTACAAACATGGGATTAATTTCCCGAAAAAAATTTTGGAAAATATACACCAGAACAATGAAAAAGGAAAACAAAAAAGAGAGAAGGACAGAATTTGAGAAAGAGCAGAACTAACCCAGGAGGGCAACGAGAAGAAATACCATGATGGTACCTGTCTGTGCAGCAGGCTCAGAGAACAGTCCGTCCAAAACTGACCACTCAATAAGCAGTATGATAAACTAGATGAATAATATTTATACAATACTTTAAACACTAATTTTTAATTTTCATACTCAACCGAAAGGCAGAATATGAAAAGCAATTATACTTAAGGAATATAACTTACACATTATAAATTTTGACACTGTAGAAATAACAGCATAACTGACAAAAACAGGGTTTTAAGGGGCAGAGACGGATAAAAATACAGAAACCTAATGCTCTAAGTTCTGTACTGGGCAGAGAAGAATTATTGTTTAAGATCAATGAAGCAACAAATACAGCTCCAAGTGAACACTTAGAGTTATCAAGATAACAGAAGAAGAAATATGGTAACGGAATTGAGAAATGTTTAAGAATTTAAATTCTTCGCCTTTCAAAGTAGCAACCTGAGGCAACATGGCAAATATGTAAACAAAGAAATAGAGGTACAAGCACATTGCTTATAGATTAGAAGCAGCCACTCAAAAGAACTAAAAACATGCATAAGAAACAAGATGAGGTGGGAAGGAGAACTTTACTTTTCATTTTATATACCTTTTTTATGCATCTGAGTTTTTATTTCCAAGTATAAGACTAATTTTGTATTTCAAAAGAGATGCCACCTGGAATCCTGTGTTTGTGATTTTAGAAGGTAAATATGGGAGAGATACCTACCAAAATTTTTTAAAGTCGCTTGATTTAAGATTAAAATTGTTGATTAAAGAAAATTTTTCAAAAATAGATAGATAATAGCTATCTATTAGCTAATATTGACTAATATGAATCCAAATACCTATTATTTTACTATAATCAAATCACAAATTGTTACAAAAGGTATTTCACTTAATCTCAAAATCGTGAAGCTAGTTCCTTTATTTCTGAGGCCCACTCACCCCTGGGAAGCTTCTATTTCTAACCTGTGACATCACATAAAATAACAAGCCATATGCGTATCGGAACTCCTCTCAGACTACAAGGTAGGTCCCTTTACAAGATGAATTGATCATTATGATACAATAGAAGTCACTAAATATTGTAGTCACTTTGTATAAACTGATTTTTTTTTTATTTCAGCATATTATGGGGGTACAGATGATTACGTTACATATGATGCCCTTGCCCCCCTCCCCGCCAAGTCTGAGCTTCAAGTGTGTCCATTCCCCGGGAGGTGCGCATCGCACTCATTGTTTGTGCGTATGCCCGTATGATCTTTTTAAAAATTTAAAAAATTCTTCACAAATTCAAGAAACTTTTAACACTTGCAATTACTGAGCGTCTCTCAGTCCTACTTGGCGCCCCCTCCTCCCCACTTCAGCAAGTGCTAGTGTGAAAAGAGCACCGAAGACAGCAAACTCACCAGGCTAAGGAAGACGAAAAAGTAAGACCAGGTACGATCTCCATTAACATTTGCTAAATCAGCAGGACAACAGAAACTCTGTCTCTCGTCCAAGATGGTTGTGAGAACAGCTAGACAATGTTTGAGAGATACGGTAAATATACGTCAAAACTTGAGTTCAAAGGAAAAAAAAGGCTGCTACATAAGGTCACCTACGATTAAATGATTTTGAAAACTCATGATTAAGGCTGGGCACAGTGGCTCATGCCTGTAATCCTGGCACTTTGAGAGGCTGAGGTGAGAGGATGGCTTGAGGCCAGGAGGTCAAGACCAACCTGAGCAACACTGCCAGACCTCACTGCTATTAAAAAAAAATTAGCTGGGCATAGTGGCAGGTGTCTGTAGTCCTAGCTACTTGGGGGGCTGAGGCAGGAGGATGATTGGAGCCAGGAGGTCAAGGCTGTAGTGAGCTATGATGGCACCACTGCACTCCAGCCTGGGCAAAAGAGTGAGATCGTAGCTCAAAAAATAAAATAAAATGAAATAAAACATGATTTATGATTTAAGAAACATTTTACTACAATTTCTTCTGTCTTTCAATTTGTTCCTACATTTATTTTTTTTCTTGGATCACTGTAAATAAGGGAGAAGAAAGAAGAAAATTCAGTAAAGATGTGGACTATATTAATAATAATGTAAAGGTAAAAGGAATGAGAAGTAATAGAAGAAAAAACCTGTAACTCTTAAAATGACAGAACTTATTTTAGAAGATGTAGATAGAAAGGATGAGTACTTAAGGAACTAACCAGTGTGAACGATTCGCAAATGTCCTTAAAATAAGCAATTTCCACTTTCCCCATATGTTTTACTCTTTCTGGAAATAAACATAAAACGCAATGTCAGTGTATCATTTCAGAGCTAAACACGCCAATAGCATCAACTAGTCTTTTAATTCCAGAATTTTAAAAATATATTATGAAGAAGGATTGTTGTGTTTTTCATGATGAAAATAATGTATGTGTTCACTTATAGTGGAATGAAAATGTCCTTTTTCCTCTGAAAACAGTAATTCCTTGTTTTAATTATTTGAGTCCAATAATTCCTTCTCAACCTAAATCCGCAACTGCCTTCAGTATTGCTGCATGTCTCTGCACATAAGCAAACACAAAAGGAATTTAGACAGATGCCCAGAGTGCGAAGTCATCTCATTCTGAATATACAACAGAAATAAAATGAACAGAGTTAACGTTTTCATTCTGATCCTTGGGCAACTCAGGAAGGAGTATGGTACTTAGGCTTTGTGGTCTGGCTTCAACACAGGTAGTTACAGACACTGTCAGTGACTAGCAGCAAGTGTGACTTGCCCAGCACAGTACTACAGACGGACCATACATTGCTTAGTGCAGAACCACAGTATTCACACTTTACTTCAGACAGACAGGAGCTCAAACCACGTACTATCTACTAGGTTCGTAAACTTGGGGAAGTTACCTAAACCCTGAGCATCTGCTAAATTAGTAACAATAATATCTACTAGAACAGACGCCAGAGCTTGGTGTATGCTAGACAGTTCAAAAGGTTCAATCACATCTCCAACGGCGCTGGGCTAACTCCCCCTGGAGGTCAGCTCCATGCAGGTTCCCGGCTGCTCCGGTCTGCAGGGGCGTCCCTCCGCCGAGTGTCAAGGCTTCGGCGTGGCAGGTCACAAGGGAATTAGTGGGACGATTTGTCTTGGCTGGCTGTGGCACTACCACATCGTCAACTCTCATTTGAGAAGCAGTTAAGGTGCTAAAAATTTTCAAAACTGAATAAAATTTATTTACTCTTCATATATTTGAATGAGAAATATGAAAATAGACAAAACCAGGTAAAATAATGAGATAGATAAGAAATATATGTAATTTATGGACTCAAGTCTCATATTTTAATTGTAGTTTTCTCATTTTGGTTTTCACCCTGACCTTACATGCGCTTCACCATATCAGACCTCTCCCTTTCTCGAGTGCATGCAAGAATGGCAAAAATTCCCTCTTGCTACTCCATGTGCAAGAAAAGGTTTTACATGTCCACAAACTAAGAGAGGCTAACACACTGAGTGTTAATGAGTTTCAGTCATCTTAGAAATGGTATATTTTCTAATTTAGAATTAGGTTAAGGAAACAGGATCCTTAATAAGGATGAAACGAAAAGGAAAAATGGGGGAAAATTGATCAAATAATAATAATAGATGTCATATATTCAACATTTGGTATGTGAAAGCCAGATACTTTAAATAATTCGTCTCTTTATTGCCTTTAAGTAGGTACAATTATCTTTATAGATGCACAAACTGAAATTCAGGAACGATCTACCCAAAGTCATTCAGCCAGGAAGCAGCACTGCCAGAACTCACACTGAAATCTAACTTCACAGAAAATCAGCTCTAAATCATGCCAAGCTATTTCTGGAACTTGAATTTCTGGGATGTCAAAACTTCATCAGAAGGCAGTTATCTTTCCCTTCATTTGCACGAGACAAGACAAAACTAGGTGTAGAAATAGCTATGGTCATTCATGAACAGTCCTTCCTTAGTTTTTTCCTGGTAGTCACATGACCAAAAGAGATTTCAGGACAAAAATGCCAGTATTATATGCTTTTATTTCTAGTTCCAAGGACGCTTTCAAAACTCACAATTCCCAACAGCAGTTGGGCCATCACAATTGTAAAAGAAAGAAAACAAAAAAGGAAGGGAGGAGGGAAAGGAGGAGGGAAGGAAGGAGGAAAGGAAGGAAGGAGGGAAGGAAGGAAGGAAGAAAGGAAAGAGGGAGGGAAGGAGGGAAGGGAGGAGGTGGGGAAGAAGATGAGAGGTAATAAGAGAGGGGAGGGGAAAGGAATGGAGGGGAGCCCACTAGATGTACTTTTTTAGTTTAAAATACCATTTATCTGTCTACATCTTTTCCTCTCTCTTACTCTGCCTAACAATATGACACAACTCAGACAAAATCATGTTGAACTGCCCTTATAATCTGCAGGGAGAGAATAAAAAGCAAAACATATAAATTTAACGCCCATATATAGGAATTGTGGTTTACGTTAGCTCCTTCTAAATTCTATGAATTCCAGTGACACACGAATTTATTTTGTTTCTCAGAAAGTAACAGTCTTACCGTGAAATTTTGAAGCTTCAGGATCATTCGCGTTGATAGCAATCAATTTCCAATCTGTTTCGCCTTCATCAATAAGACCCAAAACTCCAAGTATCTTCACATGAATAACCTCTCCACGAGAAAGAACCTTTAAAGAGAAAAGAAATTCACCATTTGCAAGGCTTCGGAGGAGAGTTTACTCAAATAGCATAAAAACCCATATGAAAGATTAAAAGGGCTACAGACTGAAATGTAATAAAGCTTCAGTAGTTAATGTAAAAACAGTCATCAAGCCTCCCTTGCAATGTTCCTTTTGGAATTAAGTTCCTCTAAACTTCCACTTCCAATCATGATGGAATTACTGATTAAAAAAAAAAAAACTTGCCCTCCCATGGTAAATTACTAAAAAACTAGACAAAATACAGGAAATCACTCTTTTCGGACATTAAACAACAGGCGGTGCAGGATTGTGACTCCAGAAAGAAGCAAACAACCGAAGAGAGCCCTGTGATTGCCCGGCTTTCTGCTCAACCGCTTCTTGGACCAGGGCACTGGGAAGGAGCACAGCGAGAGAGCACAGGCATCTCACTGAAGTCAAAGAACAGGGTTAAAAAACAGGGAGGATGAGGCAGGTAGAATTTGTGGGGCACAGTATTGGAGACAAGAAATAACTCCAGAAATACACACAGTGGTTCCTTTGAGACATTTATTAAACACTAGCCTATGCATGCATGGGGTGAGACCCCTAGAGTCCAAGCCAAGAATGTGCCAGAGACCTCTCGGATGGGTTCCAACCACCCCGGAAAACCTCACTCAGCAAGAGGCACGTTCCATCGCGAGCCTGGAAGAGGCAGGCTTGAGCGGCAGCACTTAACTCGCTCTCAAGTAAAGGTTACTCTACACCTGTCCTAAAAAGGTTTTAAAAATGCCCGGAAATGATAAAACTGATCTGCAAGTTACAACTTGACAAAACAAATATCTTTAAAGGAAGACAACAAACCGAGGCACTCAACAACCTATATTCACAACATCCAGAATTCTGTCAATAAGCAGAAAAATGTAAGCCCTAGCAGGGGGCAAAAATCATTCAACAGAAACAAATTCAGAAACGACAGATGATGGAATTTACAAGGACTTTAAAACAAATATTGTACATAAGCTGAAAGATTTAAAGAAAAACATGAAAATGTGGAGATGAGAAATGAGAAACACAAAAAAGAACCAAATGGAACTTTTAAAGCTGAAAAAATACATTATCTGAAATGAAAAATTCTCTAGATGCGCTTAAGAACAAAATAGATACTGCCAAAGACAAAATCAGTGAGTGTGAAGACACAGCGATAGAAACTTTCCGAAGTGAAGCACGGACAAAAGACTAAGAAGAAACTAATAATCTTAGTGACCTGTGGGACAAACACAGCGCTCTGCCTTAGACATACCTGGAGCCCTAGAACAGGAAAAAGGAACCGGGAAAATATTTGAAGAAATAATCTCCGACATTTTATTAAATTGTGAAAAGTATAAACCTACAGCTTGAGAAAGCACATACACAGAAAAATGCATCGGAATAAACACAAAGAAAACCAGAGTGAGGCACATCATAATCAAATTGCTGAAAGCCGGTGACATAGAATAAATCTCAAAGGCAGAGGGGGGAAAAAGGATTATATATAAGGGCACAAAGACAAGACTGACAGCCAGTGTCTCTTTAGATGCAACATAAGCCAAAATACAAAGGAACGAAATCTTTAAAACTCTTAAAGAGAAACGCTACTTACCCATAATGCCTGGGGTCAAAGAGACTTTGCAAAGGGGCAAGACGGAACTTTCTGGGATGATGGAAATGTTCTACATTTTGATTGAAGGAGGTTATGTGAGCATATACGTTTGTCAAGATTCACTGAACTGTAGAATTACAATGAGTATATTTCATTGTATATGTATTTTGTTTTCATAAAGTTTAATAGTTACAAAAATAAACTGAGAAAAAAATATTAGCAACTTATGTCACACCCAAAGGGCAAAGATGCCTAAAACATGAAGAGCTACTAAAAATCAAGAAGAAAATCAGCAAAAGCTCAACTGCAAACAGGAAGGAACCATGAATAGGCAACTTGCAGAAGAAATGGAAACAGCCTTCACTGGTATAGAAAGATGCTCGGGTCCACCCACAATATAGCCACCTGCATGTTTAAACTAACCCCGCCCAGTGTTCCAGAATTCACACACAACAGGCAACTGCCGCACCTTGAGCCGCTCCTCTGTTTTGCTTCCTCTATTCGGAGGGAGGCGGAGAGGAGGCAGGGGAGGGGGAATTTCTTTGGCTGCCGGCTCTTAATCTGCAAAGGGGAGCATTTTATCCCACTCAGAGGAATCAGAAGTTGAAGCAAAATTCAAGCCATTCACATTTATTGAGAGCATTGATATTTGGGGTAGATTTCTGTTCATATTGTTGGGTAAATCCTTACTGTTTTGTTTTAACCTCTCAAGCCATCGTGGAATCCGGGTTCTGGACTTTAACTCCCGAGTGGTTTTACTTTGTTGAGTGTCTATGACGCAGTCCGGTGTATAATGCAGGTCTGAGTACTTTCCGCAGGGCAGGTCTGGTCTTCGCAACTTCCATCAGTGATTGCTTGCCTGGAACAGTATTTATTTCTCCCTCGTTGATGAAGCTCAGTTTTGCCGGGTAAAGAATTCCAGGTTGGCCATTATTTGTTTTAGAAGATTGAGGATGGGTTGTCCAGTCCCTTCTGGCTTGTAGGGTTTCAGTTGAGAAGTCTGCAGTTAGTCTGATAGGGTTTCCTTTGTAGGTTATCTGCTGTTTTTGTCTTACTGCTCGAAGGATTGCCTCTTTTGTGTTTATTTTGGTCAGCCTGATAACTACGTGACGTGGTGATTGCCTGTTCACATTGAGTCTCCCAGGAGTTCTGTGTGCTTCTTGTATCTGGGTATCTAGGTTTCTGGCCAGGCCAGGCATATTTTTCTCCACTATTCCAAGAAATAGTATATTTTCTTCTTCTCTCTCCAGGATGCCTATAATTTTTATATTTGTTTTCTTTACATAATCCCACATTTATTGTATGTTCTGTTCTTGTCTCTTGCTTCTGTGTTCTTTTTCTTCATCTGATTCGTTTAGCATCTAGGCATTATCTTCAAGCTCTGAGATTCTTCCTTCTGTGGGGTCCATTCTATTTTTAAGGCTTTCCACTGTGTTTTGTAGTTCCTTGAATGCCTCTTTCATTTCCAGGATTTGTTTGGTTCTTTTGTAGTATTTCAATTTCTTTTGAGAATTTTTCATTCATTTCCTGTATTGTTCTCATGGCTTCTTTGTGTTGGGTTTCTGTTTTCTCTTCAATTCCATTGAGTTTCCTTACAATCCACATTTGGAGTTCTTCCTCTGTCATTTTAATCATTTCATTTAAATTAGTGTCTGATTTTGAGGATCTAATGATTTTTGGGGGGGTGACTTTTCTCTCTGATCTTTCATATTTCCTGTGTTCTTTCACTGGTTCTCTCATCAGGGTACTTGGCTGAGAACTGGGAGTGCCGGGGCTGGTTTGTGCCCCTAACTTCAAGCCCCCAAGGGACGTTCCTTGATGGTGGTGGGAGGAGGCTCACTGGTCCCGTACTGCCTTACAGGTAATTTTCGCAAGTTGGGTTACCTCTGCCCTGTTGTCTTCGCCTCTTGCCAGTGGAGATAAGTGAGTCTGGTCCCCCAGCTTAAGCTCCCACGTGGTGAATCACACATGTGTGTCTGACTCCACTGCCCTCCAATAGCTTGAGACGGAGGGCACTGTGTTGAGCTGTGGGGTTACCCTCTGTTGTTGGTTGTAGATCGTGTGGAGGAGCCAGTTATCGAGGTGATCTGATGCCTGTGTTGGTCTCTTGTCCCCTGGATGGGGAATACTAATGCCCCGATCTTTAGGAAGGGTCTTACCACTCCTGAAGGTTACTTGGACCCTATTCCCCCTTAAAGTGGGGGTAGAGGCAAGGCAGATGTTAGCTGCTGCCTACCAGCCTGGATGTGACTGCTTCTATGGTTGCTTGATCCACTGCTAAGGGGAGCTGCTAATGTATTATTCAGGGCTCTTCCACCACCCTTGGGAGGCTGCTCCTGATGGGAGGGGTCGCTTGGTGCACCTGCTGGGGTCTCTGGCCAGGATTTTCCTTCCCTGACCACAGACCCCAATGTGGGCAGCTGCCTGGATGTGGAGAGCAGGCCTCAGAGTCATGTTGTCAGTAGATGACCTAAGCCGGTCCAACCTGCCGAATCAGGGGGATGTCAATTATTGATCTGGGCCAAGGCCCCAGATTCATGCCAGTTGCACAGGGAAAGCAGCTTTTCTTCCTTCTCCTAACCTCCAGGGGCAGAGCCCTCCACTCCCAGCGCAAAAGTCGCTGGGCTAGGGGAGGGGGATGCCCTAGACCACCCAGTGCCTCTGCATTTCCAACCTCTGGGGAACTAGCATAGCGGGGAAGCACTCAAAATTCGCCCACCAACACAGGCCTGACTGGCCAAATCAACAGGTCGCGGAAGGGCAGAGACCACGGTGCCCAGCATGAGAGTACCCGGGTTAGGGGAGGGGTGCTGTCCGAAACTGTAGCGTACCTCAGAGTCTGGGTTGTGGACCCCAAAAATGGTGGCTGCCCACCCACAGAGAGCTAGCACTGGAGGCCACTGCTCAGGAGTTGGCAGATGCCAGCTGGGCGGCCTGAATCAACAGCACATCCACCGTCTCTTGTGCGTCACAGTCCCGCAATCTCACGTCTGTCCGGGAGAAGGTCTTGCTCTTTCTGTCCCGCCCTGAGCTGGCCTGATCGTCTTCTCGTCAGCTCATGGAACTTTCTCCAAAATCGACCACATCCTAGGCCACAAATCAGACCTCAACAAATTTAAAAAAACAGAAATTGTCCCATGTATCTTCTTAGACTATAGTGGTATAAAACTGTAGATCAATTCCAACAGAAACACTCACTACTTCACAAAGTCATGGAATTTAAACCATCTATTGCTGAATGACTACTGGGTCAAGGAGGAGATCCAGATGGAAATCAAAAGATTTTTTGAACTAAATGATAATGGGGCCACAGTTATCAAAATCTGCAAGATACAGCAAAAGCATTCTTGAGAAGAAAACTAATAGCATT